TTAACAATTGCATGCAGCCTTAAATTTTATGAAAAAAAAATGGGCGATAAATCGGCATATTATAAAGAACCATCTTCGAGTTTCACAAAACCAGCAACCGCTGGGAGGTACTGTCAACCACTAAAATTCAGCTCAGCTACGAAGGGAGGGGTGGGGGCGAGCTGCAATGACTGCGGAGAGAGGCCGAGAAGGCTGAAAACGGGACAAAAAGGGGAATAAGGGCGGAATGGTGTTTTAGGTATCGGAGGTCGTGATGAAGAAGGAAGGACGGAGTTACTGATTGGAAAGGAGCTGAAATCCTGCTTTGGAGGTAGAAACTGGAAAAAGGAACCGGGTTTGCGAAGGAGGGATGGAATGGAAGGGAAGACTAAGAGAAAATAAAAAGTGAAAGAGATAGTGGAGAGCATATGTTGCAAAAAAGTGTTCAGGAGATGTAACGAGGACCTGTAGGAAAGCCGAATTGGATTTTTTATACTTAGCACAAAACTGGATGCTGAGGATTTTTGGGTTAGAAATTTTGAGCGCGACACTAAGAACTTCATGCAAACAAAAAAAGCAGGCAATGCAATTTTTATAGTGCAAAATCGAAACCAAAAATGAGTGCATGTTGTGTAGTCGAGTTGAGTTTTAGTAGCTGCCAGTGACACTCTTTGCTCAAAGACATACAGATACAAGTGTTTTGGAAATTTTTTGAAAAATATAAACAATGAAAGTTTGTTTAGCACTGTAGGCCAGCCGGTGAAAGGGACACAGTCGAATATTGTCAACTGTGGGAAAGCAGTGAGTACTAATTCAGGCACCCAGATAAGCGAGCCAGTATATGCATTAGCTGTTTTCCTGTTTGTGTTTCATCCCCAAACTGTAAACACAGACGAAAGATCGGTGCGGAGTGGGGTGGGAATCATCAGTACAGTGTCCCACTCCGCCATGTTTTGAACAAATATGTGACAACCTTCGTCCCATGACTGGCCCTGTCCCCTTGTCGAGAATGAGAAATCCCTCTCCCCCCTCATCTGGATGTAACTGTCGTTTATCAAATTCGCTTTTCGGAAATGAGTCCAGTGTTTCTGCTACTAGTTTTATAAGAACTTTCGAGAAAATTATACCGATCCAACAAATTATCGACGTGACAATCTGATCTCTGTTGTAATCTGAGATTCCCTTTCTACATCAGCAAATGCTATAATCCTGCCAGTCCCATGTGCAACAGCCCAAATTTGCTTGCTCAATCTTTTTCAACTTACCAAGTTCTTTATCGCTTTTCAATTTTGCCTTCAAACGAGCCTTTGCTTTTAGCTCCAGCACTTCCTAAAAATATTTACAAATTTTAACTTGAAGCAGAAAATCAGAATAAAGTAAAGCAATTCAAGGAGTTTCGAAAGCATCATTGAATAAATAAAAGACTTCGCTAAAAAACTGCGAAGCGTAGTCACTAACGAAACTTGAAAAGCAAGCGCTAGCTGTGACGAAGGCAGTGATGCACCGAAGGGTGCATGTTGCGTCCCCTCGTGACCATGTAAGCAATCAGACTTTTCTTTAGCTGAGCAGCACGAGGACATTAACCATAAATAAATGGCCAACGCACAGGCTGCCCGAGCGAAGATGCGCTTTTTGCAGAGTTTCCCGCAGGTTTTGTCGCTACCGGCATCGGTTTTTTTGGCAAATCCTTCTAGCTAAACAAATCAAGACTGGCCACCAAAACTGGCAGGAAACACTCCTTTAAAATTTCAGCTTTCTAGCATTTCAGATCTCCGAGTTACGAATTTATGCGGAAAATTTTGGCGGGCCCGTATGCGGGTACCACGCTTGCCCGGGGGTTGGGTTTGAGCTCATTAGCGCCTACATGGACGGGGAACATTCCCTTGAAATTTCAGCTTTCTAGCATCTCAGATCCCCGAATTATAAACTTACACGGGAAAAAATTTGGCGGGCCCGTACGCGGGTACCACACTTATCTGGGGGTTGGGTTTGAGCACATTAGTACCTACTTGAACCGGGAACATTCCCTTAAAATTTCAGCCTTCTAGCTTTTCAGAAGCCCGAGCTATGAATTTACGCGGGAAAAATTTTGGCGAACCCGTACTCGGGTACCACACCTACCCGGGGTTGAGTTTAAGCTCATTAGTACCTACTTGCACGGGGGACATTCCCTTAAAATTTCAGCTTTCTAGCATCTCAGATCCCCGAGTTATGAATTTACGCGGGAAAAATTTTAGCGGGCCCGTACTCGGGTACCACGCTTACCCGAGGGTTGGGTTTGGGCTCATTAGTACCTACTTAGACGGAGAACATTTCCATAAAATTTCAGCTCTCTAGCTTTTCTGGTCCGCGAGTTAGCAGCTTACCCGTAAAAAACTTTGGCGGGGTCTTACGGGGGTACCACGCGGGAAAGACCGCCCATTTGGGAGATAGGGGCCCGTACGTGCATGTAGATTAAGACCCCAAAGTTTCAGCCCCGTAGCTTTTGCCGGTCTCGAGATCATAGGGACCCGTGCGTGCATGTAGATTAAGTCCCCAAAGTTTCAGCCCCGTAGCTTTTGCCGGTCTTCCCGTACGTGCATGTAGATTAAGTCCCCAAAGTTTCAGCCCTGTAGCTTTTGCCGGAATCGAGATGAAAAATCGGTACAGAGGCCCTGCGCACACACACAAACACACACACAGACAACCTGTCGTCAATATGCGTTTTTCGCATTGCATTGCTGCA